TACCCTTGAGTGGCAACCATTCATCCCATTCCTAATCTGACTTTTTGAGTATTGAACTATTTTACTATAAAGAAATGGCAGAATACAGATTGCAGATGAATCACACATACTTAGTTTTATGACCTAGTTTTGCTAGTCTAGGAAGCCCTCCAACTTTCCCCACCTGAATCCCCAACTTTCCTCCTGTTCCTTGTGGAGTGCAACCTTTTACTGTATCCTGGTTCCACTTGGGTCACAATAGGCTTGTCAGCAGTGACAGGAACATATCCTCTCGACTCAAGCAGTCATCTCTAGCAAGTCTCTTTTCCCTAATCTTTGTCTTCTTGAATACTGTCTCTCCCAATTTTAAGCCTATTTTGTAATTCTGGAAGGTTGCTATCCCTTTGGTATTTTTCCAGAATGGATTCATGCGAACTTAATTTAGGAACAGCTCATTTCAGTTCACTCTAGCCCACCGCATGGTTAAAGCAAATTAAACACTTCGTGTCGTATAGTGAAAGGGAATCAGCCTGCTTGGGTATGAGGACAACGGGGAGCAGACATTAACACTGCAGCCACCATGGCCTCCATGCCTAGCCGAGGCTTCGAGGTGAACGCTGGTCACTCTTCCCAGGCTGGATGTGGCTGTGGTGCATCTTAACAGTAGCCTCTGGGACAGGAATTGGCTGCTGCTGGGCCCCAGTTTTGGTTGTTTGTTCTTATATTCAAACATGAGAGGTGGAGTTGGGTCTCAAAAAACCGTCTTTTGGGGACCCTGCTCCTACCCTCGTGATAATATTCCCTGCCCACTTCTCTCAGGCATTGCAGTGAAATCGACCTCCAACTGGTCTGGCTCCCCAAGGCTAGAGCATTGGGGAGGGAGGTGATTCATTGGTTCAAGTACTTTTGTTACTTAGTAAAGTGAGTCATGGCAGTTCTAGATGTCAAAACATTGCTCTGACCACATCTAAGTCACCAGTGTTGCCTGTGACCCATTGTACATCTGAACAGAAATGTGCTTACCAGGAGTGCCAGCATGGCCTGTGTGCTCTTTTTTCTTTGAAAATTCCCTATCTGTGCCCTAAACAACTTCAGCCTTCCTCTACACGGATATTTTATTTTAGCTCAAACAGCAAGGAAAATATTTTTTCACCTTTTTTCTAAATAAGTTTCTTTTTGCCTCTACAAACACTTCTCCAGTATACAGGCCCCACCTGTGGAGAACTATAATTATAATTCTCGTTTCGGGGGGGGGTGGGGGGAGATGGGGTGGGATGGAGCCAGATGGGGGGAGATGGTGTGGGATGGAGCCAGAAGTGGGAAAGCATTCGCTGGCTGGTTTGGGCTGAAAGAGGAAAGGTGAATTTTTGAAGGCTCTGAGTCTAGATTTCTAGAATAGGTGGGGGGAGATGGTGTGGGATGGAGCCAGAAGTGGGAAAGCATTCGCTGGTTGGTTTGGGCTGAAAGAGGAAAGGTGAATTTTTGAAGGCTCTGAGTCTAGATTTCTAGAATAGAATGATGATAATACCAGTGATGGGCTGGAAAGAATGAGTCTTTGGAAAAGGAAGAGATCAATTTTACAACCCTGTGATGTTTCAGATACCAGTGAATGTTCCTCTGGACAGTGAAGTACAGAGAAGGCTCTGGTGGCATTTGCTGACGTTTGACTTTTCTGTCTCAAAGTGTTCTTAGAATGTAAAGAGCCAGAGTGCCATTCCTTTCAGCTGTTTCCCTCCAGAAGCCATTTTCCGAAGCTTTAGAGCAGAGTGCTTTAAAGAATGAGAGTATGAAATAGCCTGCTTGACATTTTATTTACGACTGTCAAAAGTCAGTAAGTCATGTGTGTGTGTATTTTTCTCTTAGGTTCATTTTCCAGACACTGAAAGAGCAGAATGGCTAAATAAGGTAAGATTAGAATATGCCAAATACCAGATATCAGCGGGAATTAGAAGATGAGACACCATCTTTCCATATTTGGGAACTTGGCTGTTGGCAACATTTGAGCTGGTTTAGACTCTAGTGGGTTGGCGTCTCCTCCCCAAAGAACCCGGTCGTAACTGTCAGGATACTTTCTTTTCCTTTCTTAAGAGTGAAGTGTGGTGCTCACATTATGTCTCAGGCTTTGTGTCTTCTTTCCTGAAAGAAGACTTGGGCCACTTGCTCAAGTCTATTTCATGGCAATCCTAAGTGAAAATTATGTAAACATTATCATGAAGAGGGAAATAACTCCCAAGAAACCTGGAAATGGGTAATGATCTTGTTTTTAAGGTTATGTCTTTAGATAAGTATTCTTTGAACTAGATCTCTTTTATTTCTATTTTATGCATCTTTAGGGCTATGTAGTAAACACTAACATAGATAATGATCATCTTACAGCACTGGAAGTTTGTCAGTTTAAGAAAAATTTATGGGGGCTTATTAAGATTTACACAGTTCAAGAAGGTTTTCAGCAATGAGTTGAAATAACGGGATTTTTAGCAATCATTAAATGTGCTAACACGCTTGAACAGAAGGTTTAACCAAAGTAACTAATTTCTGCAACATATTGGTTAATCAATAGTTTATCGTTATAATAATTTAGATTTTTATAATATTATATTTTTTATAATAATTTAATCGTTATAATATAAAAATTTAGATCCCATTGACTTTGTATAACAAGAAGACCCCTTCCCCTCCTTATTTTTCAAAATGAGATTCTGTTAAACTACAAGGGCATAATTTTACATGATGACTTAAGTATATTATGTATTGTAACATTTTGTTTAACGTGAGTTATTTTTCCTTTCCAGACTGTAAAACACATGTGGCCGTTTATTTGCCAGTTTATAGAGAAGTTGTTTCGAGAAACCATAGAACCAGCTGTGCGGGGAGCAAATACCCACCTTAGCACCTTTCGTTTCACGAAGGTTGACATGGGTCAGCAGGTTAGTTTCTTCTTAAGTATCCCTACTTGTGTACATGCTAGGATTGCTGTGAAACATAAAAAAAATTAAACTACTTCAAATTGTATTCTTGAGAAAATTGTTCACAAAGAAGGTCTGACTGTGTCTCTGCGGTTCCCAATCAGGATCTGCTTCTGTTGGGGAGAGGCCTCCCGTGGCCCTCCCTCGTCCGCTGTCACCCTCCTGTGGCTCTCCCTCATCCACTATCAGGGAGAGCCCTCCCGTGGCCCTCACTCAGCCCTCCCGTGGCCCTCCCTCGTCCACTATCAGGGAGAGCCCTCCCGTGGCCCTCCCTCGTTCACTGTCGCCCTCCCGTGGCCCACCCTCATCCACTATCAGGGAGAGCCCTCCCGTGGCCCTCACTCGTTCAGCTTTCACTGTGTGGCTTCTCTTTAGTATTTACTTCATCTTCCATAACATGTCTTTCTACCTTATATTCTTCTATCAGAATTATCTTTTTCAAAAGTACCAGTAAGTTGGGCAGGCCCGTGGCTCACTTGGGAGAGCGTGGTGCTAATAACACCAAGGCCGCGGGTTCAGATCCCATATAGGGATGGCCAGTTAGCTCACTTAAGAGAGTGTGGTGCTGTCAACAGCAAGTCAAGGGTTAAGATCCCCTTACCGGTCATCTTTAAAAAAAAAAATACTGGTAAGTATAAAAAAAAAATAGTAGTAGGGCCGGCCCGGTGGCGCACTGGATCTCCCTCATCCACTATCAGGGAGAGCCCTCCCATGGCCCTCCCATGGCCCTCACTCAGCCCTCCCTTGTCCGCTATCAGGGAGAGCCCTCCCGTGGCCCTCCCTGGTCTGCCATGCTGCTTTGGCCAGTTCAGCTTTCACTGTGTGGCTTCTCTTTAGTATTTACTTCATCTTCCATAACATGTCTTTCTACCTTATATTCTTCTATCAGAATTATCTTTTTCAAAAGTACCAGTAAGTTGGGCAGGCCCGTGGCTCACTTGGGAGAGCGTGGTGCTAATAACACCAAGGCCGCGGGTTCAGATCCCATATAGGGATGGCCAGTTAGCTCACTTAAGAGAGTGTGGTGCTGTCAACAGCAAGTCAAGGGTTAAGATCCCCTTACCGGTCATCTTTAAAAAAAAAAAAATACTGGTAAGTATAAAAAAAAATAGTAGTAGTAGTGCTAGAGTGAGCAGTCTGTCTTGTGAGAGAGTTTGACATGTGAATTCGTGCTAAAGGTCTAGTAATTGACAAGCTGATGTGTTTGCCCCTCTCAAGATATTGAAAAAAACAACTCAGGGCTCTAATGCTGGGATTGTAGGCATCACATTGATTACACAGGGGAAAGGAAAGATAGGTTTTTGTTAATGGAATCATATTATATAAAAAGGGAGGGCCGGCCCGGTGGCGCACTGGATAGTGCGCCGCTCGGGAAGCGCGGCGGTGCTCCCACCCGAGGGTTCGGATCCCGCATACGGACCGGTTTCCACTCACTGGCTGAGCGAGGCGCGGGGGCAGCGCCGAGGGTTGCGATCCCGTTGCCGGTCCCTGGTCCGGTACGG